GTGCACATTATCCGGTTTCCATTGTCTATTTGCTAATCGATATTTGTCTTGGATAAGAAATTTTGGGAAAGAGAAAGCTTGCCATGCTGTTTGTGAAGAATCTCTCTGAAAACTAAGCTTTTCCCCTTTTTTCAAATACCTCCCCGCACAGAAGGAAATAACGTCTTGTCAGTGGGAGGAAACTAGTCTGGGAGGTGTTTGTTTTTACGGGGAGTGGAATGAAAGCACTTTTTTTTGCAGCTCACTGGGATCTTTGTGACTAAGTTGTACACATTTAACGTCCTTAATTTCTCCTCCCTTTTTCGGTCAGAGACCATGGTAAGCGCAGGAAGTCCGCTTAAAGACAGCCCCCGCGCTCAACTAATTCATAGTCGTCCTTCCTTGTTCGAGCAGTCTGGTCCTCAGTAAGCAACGAAGGCGGTGTGCCTTCATAAGTGACAGTTTTGACAACTTCCCAGTTGTCCCGCCCACCAGAACACAAAGTTTTTTTTTGTCACGCACACAGTTTTTGCTCTGTTTTCCCTTTTTTCAATATTAGTTAGGACTAGCATTGGATGATGCGAAGAAACGATTACCGAGCCAGAGGCGGGAGGATATCAGTTTGGTGGCATAAAACGAGCAGGAACTCGAGCATGAAGCTTCTCAGGGGCTCTTATTTGGGATGTCCTCCATTTTTTTCTACTTTTTCTTCCCCAGGAAAGTCATTAAGTGAACATAGGTTTGCAACTGACCGCCACTGTGCTCAGCGTGCAGTCGCGGGGACTAGCTGAAGTGTGTGGTTTTGTGTCTCTGTAACTGTTTCTTACAGCACAAGTTGATTGACACTACAGCGCTTTTAATTTTTTCTAGCAGTTTAGCGTAAACTCCGTTTATAAATTATTTTTCTTTCAGTAGTAATCTGAAATTTTGAGGAATACAGCTGAATTATTTAGCGAGTTTGTGTTGGCGTGACTCGGATTCGATGACTTCGTCAGGAGGCTTGTCCGTGGTGCGTTTGGCTTGGGAAGCGTTCGTGTGGTTGACAACGGTGGTATGGCCATCATCGGGAGACGACGTTCGTGACGACTCTAGCTACGGTGGTGATGACGATGACGATTACAGTATACCAGAAGAGAATGCAAAGAAGGTAGTTGTTCACTGAATTTCGTATTTCGTTTTTTCACTTTGATTCCCTTTTCTTCATCTGAAAAGAAATTTTAGATAATGGAAGCAGTCAGCATAAGAATTTTCTACATAATATAGTGCAGTTTCGAATAATTAAAACTCAATTATGATGGACGGGATTACTAGCCCACGGTTTTGCACTTATTTGATGGGCAGACGCTTTGAAGAAAACTGCGATTAATTTTTACAGCTTGTGTCCAACTCATCCTTATCAAATACTCGTATTTAGTTGTCTCGTTCGAGCAACGGTGACGTTAGTAAGCAGCTGCGAGCGTCGGTGGCGACGACGACATGCGCTGCTGTGAATCGTAAGGGCGGACGTGGTGCACGAGACAGCACGAAGGCGAAAGAAAAGGTCATTATTGCGAATGCTGTGGAAAGAGAAAAAGTATGTGTAGAGTTTAATTTCTTTCTCTTTCACCCACTTCTTCTCACATCTGGAAAAAAACTTTCTATGCGGTCATTCCTTTTGTAATATTATAGCCGAATGGCCTGGCGATATCGAACGGCAAGACGGCAAACGGCACGACGTATGAGCCTGTGAGAGACTCAAGTTTACCGAAAGAGAATGGGCATGATTCCAATAGGTTTGAAAATGATTTCCTTTGTTTTGTACCGTTTTAGAAACGTTATGCTTCTCCTACATACGTCTTTAGTGCGAGTCTATTCTCCATTAGACTGAGACTTTGTTGTCCGCTGTAGATTGATCCGCACTTTTTTATAGACCCGAGTAGAGTCCTCTCCTTACAAAGTAGCACAGTCCGTGGTTTTGGAACTTGTCCCACTTTCGTGGTTCCATAGTGAATGGCGAGGACAATGCGGACGTCTTAAGCGGAAGGGACCGTGAAGGTCATATGTAGAAGTTGCCCCACAACTCTGGCCTGATTGTGAGGTTTTCCAACTCCTCTCTGTAAGCGCGGCATGCTAGTTTTTCGTTTTATTCAGTATGTTATGCTGTGCCTTTCGAAGTTTTTGGGTGGAAAGTTTCATTTGTCGGCCCTGGGTATGATCGCTAGGGAGTTCCCAACAGGAAGGTCGTATTTGGTGGTCGCTGTGAAGGGGCATGGAGAGGTCGTAACCGTCCGAGGAAAAAACGTTTTTGATGATTGATTTTTCTTGTTTCGGGGAGCTGTAAAGGGAGTTGGGGGGGGGCGGTATTTGCCTAATGTCTTAAGAAAGGTTAATTTTCATGGTGTTTCCTGCTTCATACGGAAAACTCGTCTGAAATTGCTTCTTGAGTCTTTGAGAACAAAAGCTTCTTTAGCCAGTATTTGACCGTTTTCATTGTCACTTCGCCTTTTCTCGCTTAAGTAGCCACTGATGGCATTTCCAACGATACGAATAATTGAGCCATATGCCTTAACAAAAAGTTGTCCTACTCACGACCATAAACTCAATTGTTTTGTCTCCTTTCACCGAAAAGGGTGTTCCATAGTCAAACGTGACCTCTGCATCAACTTATCTATCAAACAAGGTTTCTATATAGCTCGATCCAACTCGCTGTTGGCATGCAGTGAGAGAGTATGACGTTGATTGTAACAACACAGTTATAGTCTATTTCATCTTTCTATTCATTTTCATCCGAATTTCGTGTCCTAAGCACGATGGCGCTCGGGGAAGGTGGTTGTCACCAAACGCCATTTTCGGAAGGGCTTAATGGGATGTGGCCAAACGCCCTCTCACAGTCCTTCTACCATTGACACTCACAACAGCCACCCGCCTCCAACAATCGTGCCTACTACTTTTTATCGACCTTGGAAGTTATACTTGAAAACACCTTAACCTGCTTCGACTCCTCTGATCTACCTTTTTTCCCCATGATGGTATTGTAGTGTAGAAGGTCATTCTAGTGTTTCTTCATTGGAAACCGAAAGATTGAAAGCTGAAGTGATGCAGCTGAAGACGGCTGAAGCTGACGCCAGAATACAACTTTCTGTTAGCCAGAATAATGAGAAACACGCAAGGCAAGAAGCGGTACAGCTGCGGTCGAGACTTGAACAGATGGAAGCTAGGTGGGGATTATCGTTTCTATTTGGTTACCATTCTTTCAGTGATTTTATGGGAATCTGCTCGAAGTGGATCGGGTTATTTACCCAAAAAAAGTCTTTTTTCTCCTTATATTCTTCCGGTTTTATTTAAGGTATGCCACAATGGAAAAGTTGAGAGACGTGGATCGCAATTCTCTTTCACAGTTGGAAAAGAAGTATGCGGAGCTGATGAACAGAAAGAATGATGTCGAACGTGAGCTAATGGATGAGCGCAAGGCTCGCAAAGAGGATGGCGGAAAACGGTTTGTTATCTAATTGTATTAGTTTTATTGGTTATTAATTCCGTTCCACGTGTTTCTACTTCCTAGTTGAAAAATTTCATTCTCGCATTGTCATTATGATGGCTTGCTTGTATTTAGTTTGGATTCTGTTGAACAGCAACGTGAAAAGGAACGACAACTTGAGCACGAAGTGGACCGACTCCGCAGTGAGGCGCTAGCTCGAGAAGAAAGAGTTACTGATATTGAGAAAGAACTGCATGCGCTTCGTAAATACAAGGAGACCAACGATGTTGAGGTATGTTGATGGCTCTGACGGTTAGCTTTATTGCATCTCTGAAACTTGCTAG